AATGGATGGATGGATGGGTGGATGGAAGAAAAGATGAATAGATGGGTGGATGGGAGGGTGCGTTGATGGATGAATAGATTGATGATAGATGAGTGGATGGATGTTTTAGATGGATGAATAGAATTAGGTGGGTGGAATAACAGAATTGGATGGATGGAAAAAGAGACAGAGTTAAGGCCTGCATATAGAATTTCATTTCAAAATATTAGACTTCAATTCATTTTAATCAAGGTATTATTAAATACAGACCTATATGAAGTCTAGCTCTTTCACTGGCTTCAGTCCGATGAACATTAGAAAGCTGTCCAAGACAGAACCTGTTTCCTCCTGATGGATCAACATAACCATCAACAGTGACGGACGGACAGTTAGAAGTAACTTTGAAGATTTCTCCGACCTGCTGATCCAGCTCAAAGTAAGCTATAGAGCACCAGTGTTCAGGAGCTAACGGCAAAAAGAAACACAACAAGATAAATTGTAACAGAGGTTTTACGGTGAGGAAACTTCAACTTCTTTTCAGGTCATAATTTCCTGAACTTTCTACTGTTTCAAACCCTCTAAATTGAAGCATTGAGTTAAATACACCGAGTGATCAACTGATTGGCTCAAGGTATGATTTACAGTATGCATTGTGAAAAAGTGACAAAGTATTCACAGTTTGAGTGTGCTCACTGTAAAATTTATGATAAACACCCTGGGAGCTGTAGAGCATGAGAAGCAAGCTCAGAAGCATGAGGCATAGTCAAGTGTTTCTCTTGTTTCTCTACAGCTCAATAATGTGTATATAAAGTTATTTCACCATATAGCATCACATAGTATTGTATAATATTAGTGATATAGACATACGAGGGTGTTTTGATATTGGTCCTGTATCTTCAACAGGTTCTTGTTGTGACCAGAATCCCTGCGCAGCTGATGTCTGCGTGAAGGTTGCAGACGTGGGACTACTCCAGCCCGACGGTGTTGGTCCTCCAACTGGAGTTTCTGCTTGGAATGAATAAATTGACATTATTTATTGTCTTGCTCCATCATCATCATGTATCACTATTAGCAACATCAGCGTCATCATGCAATATCCTCATCACTGCCATCAACATCATCATAATCATGTAACATCATCATCATCACCATCTTTTTGTATCGCCGTCATCATCAACCTGCTGTATCATCATGTATTGTCAAGTATCATCATCATCATGCATCATCATCATCACCATGCATCATCATCAT